GCTTTAGCATTTCTTGGTGGAATAAATTTCCTCAGATTTCTCCTTCATATTTGAGGGATATATAATTCTTGTGGGATATATTCTTATCTGATGGTTTTGGGGAATATGTAATACCTGGGGAGGTGGTCCTGGAGGGTCTCTGCTCTACCCAAAACAGCTGAGGTTGAGTTCATGTTGGTGCGGTGTAGCCAAGACACTTGGACTTGAAAACCCCATACTTTTCTAGCATCTGATCCTTACTTCTCTTGATTTGAACTCCTATCCTGAGTAAACCACAAAGGCCCAGAGTCAGCCTTGGGAAGCAGCCAGGGGAGACAGATGGGCACCTGGGAAAGGGCATGTCATCCATGGAGTGCTGGAGGATGGGGAGCCCAAAGTGTCACAAAGAGGGTTGGGGACTCCATGAGCCTCCCATGACACAAAGGCTGGAAAAAGAAGCCAAACTCCACTCCTTCCACATGGGTTTCTGTCTGGGGCATCCTTCAGCACCATCACGCTCCCCTCAGGAGCCTGGCTTTGTTTTCTGGGTGTGAGCAGGGCTAAGACTCCTCTGCTGGTCTCAGAATGAATCAGATAGAAATGCGATTTTTTTTTTAAACAAAGTTTCACTATGTCCCCCCCCCCCAGTAGAGTGCTGTGGCGTCACAACTCACAGCAACCTCAAACTCTTGGGCTTAAGCGATTCTCTTGCCTCAGCCTCCCAAGTAGCTGGGACTACAGGTCTCCACCACAACGCCCAGCTATTTTTTTTCTTGCAGTTGTCGTTGTTTGGCAGGCCCGAGCTGGATTTAAACCAGCCAGCTCTGGTGTAGGTGGCTGGCGCCCTAGCCACTGAGCTACAGGTGCCAAGCCAGAAATGCATTTTTTAAAAACGTTTTTCTCTTCTTAAGTTTGTTTTTTAAAATACATACTCACAGGCCACAAGCACAATGGTTCATATCTGTTATGCCAGCATTTTGGGAGGCTGAGGCAAGAAGATCACTTGAGACCAGGAGTTTGAGACCAGCCTGGACAACATAGCAAGACCCATCCATCTCTTTAAAAAATAGCCAGGAGTTGTGGCGGCTTCCTGTAGTCCCAGCTACTCAGGAGGATGCTTGAGCCCAGGAGGTCAAGGCTGTAGTGAGCTATGATGGTGCCACTGCACTCCAGCCTGTGCAACAGAGAAAGACCTGTCTCAAAAAAATAAAAAAATGGGTAATTGGTGGGACCACACCTACAGTGCATCTTACAAGGGTACATGTGAGACTTACTAAATGTAGAATATAAATGTCTTAACACAATAGCTAAGAAAATGCCATGAAGGCTATGTTAACCATTTTGATGAAAATATTTCAAATTGTATATAAAACCAACACATCGTACCCCATGAGTGCACTGATATACACAGTGACAATTTTTTTTTTTTTTTTTTGAGACAGAGCCTCAAGCTGTCCCCCTGGGTAGAGTGCCGTGGCATTACACCTCACAGCAACCTCCAACTCCTGGGCTCAAGCGAGTCTCCTGCCTCCGCCTCCCAACTAGCTGGGACCACAGGTGCCCGCCACAACTCCCGGCCATTTTTTTTTTTTGGTTGCAGCCGTCATTGTTGTTTGGTGGGTCCGGGCTGGGGATTCGAACCCGCCACCTTAGGTGTACGTGGCTGGCGCCTTAGCCGGTTGAGCTATAGGCACCGAGCCACACAGTGACAATTTAATAAAAAAAATGCATACTCAGATGGTGAAAATTTTGGAAAGTATATAGAAATAATGAAGAAAAATCAACTATATTCACATACAACCCTTCCCTGACACAGCATCACCAGATACACAAGGAAAATTTATTCACTCATTTTTCATACAGAATGGAGACTATAAATCTCAGTTTTTAATTTATATTTCCATACTTAATATTATTACATTAATGCTTGATATAGACATTTTCCCTGTGCTTTCATATTTTCTTTGCAAACAGAACTTTAAATGACTTCACATTGAGCTGCACTTGAACATTTCATAGTTTGCTGGATGATTTGGGGTGGTCGGTTGTGCCAGCTCTTACAAACAAGGAAGGGTCTTTCTAGGAGTGGCATCTGTCCCTTTCCCTCCACAAGCTCTGAGGCCTAGACACCCTCTCCTACCCCAGGCCCTCCTATCCTCCCCACCCCACCCGCTCTGTCCTGGTGCTTCTGTCCCTGATCTGAACTCAGCCTTCCCTAGAGCCCACATTCCTGCTGCTGATGCCCCTCAGCACTCACCCAAATACAGTAACTGCTGCCCACCTTCTTCCTGGGCTGCTCTCATCCCACCAAGAACAGCACCCAGTTCCCCACAGCCCAGCCACCCTGCTGTGCACAAAGTCTCACTGGAGATGAGACTGAGTCTGTAATCACATCACCGCAACCTGAGCCCTGTTCCTTCTGTCTGGGATCTGGGCACAGCTCCCACTTGAGCATCTCCTGGGAGTCCCTGTGAGGGTTTTCTATATATTTTATGTGAATCTCACCCTTCATGGTTATAGAGTTACCCTCTTGGTCCTGTTTGATGGTTTTGCCTGGAATACAACTTGGTCCAAGTGCAAACTGGGCCATTTCCTTCTGGGGAGGTAGTCCAGCTCTTCTTTCCCTCTCAGCCTCAACGAGCTTGTCACTCCACTATTTTCTTCCTAGAGAAGTCACCAAGAGAAAACCTTCACTGTCTTCTTGTCTTGCCTGGCTGCTCCAGCCAACAGGACCAAGGTGCTCCCTCAGCTGCCCTGGCCATGCAGGACAGTGAGCAGTGACTATCCTCCTGCCATCCTGAAGATCCCAACCAAGTGGTCCTTTCCCATATAACCCAGACCATGGGCTCCCCAGAGAAAACAGGAGGAGAGGACAGACACCCACATGCCAATCTGTCCTCCATGACACCTGTCCCTCCCTCTGTCCTACAGGGCTCCTCCCTTTTAGGCCTTCTTTTCCATGGACTACTTCCCTCTGACCCACAAGCCCTGGCATCACTTAGATTCTAAAAGAAAACAAGAAATAATAAAAGAAAGAAAAGTTGGTTAGATTATGTAATCTAATGGCTTATTTATTTGGAAAACAAAACAAAATTAGAGCTTAAAAGTAAGTTAAGGCTCAGCGCCTATAGCTCAACCGGCTAAGGCGCCAGCCACGTACACCTAAGGTGGCGGGTTCGAATCCCCAGCCCGGACCCGCCAAACAACAATGATGGCAGCAACCAAAAAATAGCCGGGCGTTGTGGTGGGCGCCTGTGGTCCCAGCTAGTTGGGAGGCGGAGGCAGGAGACTCGCTTGAGCCCAGGAGTTGGAGGTTGCTGTGAGCTGTAATGCCACGGCACTCTGCCCAGGGGGACAGCTTGAGGCTCTGTCTCAAAAAAAAAAAAAAGTCAGTTAAAGTGGCAAAACATCTTGCCACACACTGTATGGCGTTGGCATTGGAGAGACTGAAGAAACAAGCCCAGGCATCCTAAAGAAGGGAGATGTGGCCATGTGCATGAGAGCCTCAAATATGTCCATTTCCAAGGAAAAGAATCAAGATTTAGGTAATAGAGTTATTTGTCATTGGGAACATTGGAATCAAGCGAATGCCCAACAATTGGAATAGGCTTCGTAAATAGCGGCTTGTCCAGAGATGGAGATCTCTGCAGCCACAGCAAATGCCGTTTTCAAAAAATGAAGATGCTGGATGCAGCTGCAGCAGGGTCCAAGAAGAAAAGGCAAAGCACCAGAGGACATGGAGTCTATGGGGCCACCACCAGTTGGGGACAGCCTGTGAATAAAGAATGAATTTTACATTTTAAATGGTTGAAAGAAAATCAAAAGAATACCATTTTGTGACACATGAAAAGTACATGAAATTCAAAATTTATCAAAACTTAACATCCATAAATGAAGTTTTATTGTCACACACCCTCCTTCACTTACTTCCAGATTGTCTGTGTCTGCTGTCTTGCCACAACCACGTATATCCTGCAAAACTGGAAGTATTTGCCATCTGACCCTTCACAGAGAATGTTCACCAGCTCCTGATCTACACAAATGTGGAGAAAGTCTCCACAACAGGGAGTCTCCAGGAAACAGGGAGTTTTTCAACAGTGACTAGCCACAGGACAATTGAACTATCAGTAGTTTCCATCTTTTTTACTTTTCTATATTTCCATCCTTTTTCTATAATAACCATGTCCTGCTTTTACAACAACAACAAAGGAGAAAGTTTTCGAGCAAATCGTATACTCACAAAAACTGTCCCTGCTCACCCCCACCAGCAGCTGTTCCTCCAAGGGGCTTCTCTCCAAATGTGGGCACTGAAGGAGGGAACACTCCTCCAGGCCCCAGGTGGGGGTTCAGGACCATAAAGTACTTGAGTCAGGACCTCTCAGTGTGGGTGTGGGTCTGAACTGCCCTCTTGTGCTTCCCACTCAGGTGGCCACACGGAGCACTGCAGGACAGGGGCCATGCACAGGTGTTGGGCCGCAAAGGGCTCTGACTCCTATGGCCCTGACCCCTTGAGAGGTCCCCACCCAGTGGGGCTTATCTCTCCTACAAGGACAGTGGTCAGGAGGCCAGGGTCCACTCTCCCCACCAGAGAACAGAGGGGACAACTTGGTGACCTGGACGTCCAGCCGCTGTGAGACCCTCCTCTCCTGTTGGGAGTGAACAGGGGAGGTAGCAAAATGTGGCTCAAGGGTAGGTGGTCAGAGAAGGAAGCCTGAAAGGACTGACCAGAGAGTCAGGGCCAAAGGCCATGGGGGAAGCTGAGCGGTGGGAAGGCAGCCCCAAATCTAGAGTCTTCTGGGCTGGCCAGAGAGCTCCTCTTGCTGCCCCACAGAATGCCTTTAGAGCAGAGAGGTCATCACACCAGCCACCGTAAGAAGTGAGGCTCAGAGAGATCAGATGAGACCAGTCGCCAGACAGAGGCAGGCAGGCCCCTTGGCCACAGGTCTAGGAGAACCTGTGACTGCCTCCCACACCCCTGGAGGGGTTAGCTGGGATCTCAGTGCTTTCTCTGTGTTCCCCAGGTGTCTTCCTGTCCCCATCCCCAGCAACAGCAAATGAACCAGGCCTGGAAGAAGTGGGGATCGTGGCCTTGGCTCCCCTGGCCGACATGCTGGGCCCACAGCCCAGCTCCACAGCAGGCACCATCATGAGCCCCCTTGTGGGCCCTCTCAACACACTGCTGTCCAGTCCAGGGCCACAGAGCGGCCCCCTCACCAGCCTCCTGGCCAGCCCCCTGGGGGTGACCCCTGGAGGCACTCTGGCCAGTTCTATGGGCCTGCCCTCCACTGGGCCCCTGAGCAGCTCCCTGGCAGTGACCCCTGGCAACACCCTGGGCAGCTCTCTGGGCCTGCCGTCCACTGGGCCCCTGACCCCCAGCAGTGCCCTGGGAGGCTCTGTGGCTGTGTCTCAGAGCAGCCCCCTGATGGCCTCCATGGCAGGTCCAGTGGCTGTCTCTATGAGCAGCCCCCTGCTCAGCTCCTCAGCTGCCCCTCTAGGCATCCCTCAAAACCTTCTGGCCAACCCCTTGAACAACATGGTGCTGCCGGAGGCCCCAAGGGTGCGGCTAGCAGAGGCATCCCGTGGGTGCCCCTCAGGGCCCCACTTGACCTGCCCAGTGCCTGCTGCCGCCTCCAAAGGTAAAGGATGCGGGGTGGAAACAGAGTATGGGGGGCCCTCCTTCTTCGCTCTAATCCCTCTCTCATCTCTGCCCCTCCTGCATCACCAGTCCCACTTTCCACTGAGACACCGCGGCTGGCCCAGGACCCGGACCCCTTCGGCATGGCGTTTGTGGGCGCACCCCTCCAGACCTCCACTCCTGTGGGCACTACGTGCCCTATTGGCCCTGCTACCTACTGTTGCACCACTGCGGATGCCCAGGTCCAGCTCAATAGCCCCAAGGGACAAATGGTCCCTGCCTCTGTCCCCACATCCCCCAGTGCTTCCCCCACTGTCACTGTGCTTGCCTCGGCCCCCAACCTCGCCCCTCAAGCCTCCACCAACTGTCCCCCCTCAAGAAACCCCCACACAGTCCGGTCACAGCACTCTGTCGCCCGGACCCCACCTCCCCACCATTCTCCTTCACGGGGGCCCTGCTCCCCGCCTCGCACCACATCTTCCCCGGCTTCTGCCAGTGAAGCCCAGAGTCCACGTGCCACAGAACAACCTCGGAAAAGCGTTATGGAGATGGATCGGAAGTTGGCCCAACGCAAGATCAGCAAGTTCCCTGACAGCTCCCGAGGTTAGTGACTCACAGGGGCTCAGCAGGAATCTAGGGATGCCCCAGGTCCTCTATCCTGCCGGCCTGCTTGGGTTACTGGCACGGCCCCTGCGATCCCCTCCACCAGTGGGTGAGTTGATGAGACCCTCTGTTGTCCCCAGATTCAAAGCAAGTGGCCTGGGAGAGGCTGGTGGGGGAGATTGCCTTCCAGCTGGACCGCAGGATCCTGTCCAGCATCTTCCCAGAGCGCGTGCGTCTCTACGGCTTCACCGTCTCCAACATTCCGGAGAAGATCATTCAGGTGTGTGGCTATCTTTCTCCACACAGTGCCAGAGGGGCCTGCAGGGATGGGAACAGCTGGCCATGAGGGACCCTTGGGGGACTCTGGACTCCTGGCAGGTCAAATGTGCTGGAATCCAAGGGGACCCTGGGGTGGAGGAAGCACAGTGCTCAGTCCATGCAGCCAACTGGTGCCCAGGACATCTGGCAGCAAGTGCTCTCAGAGACAGCCCCAAGGCACAGCCTCCGCAGAGTGCAGCCAGGCAGCTCTCCCCATGGGCCACCAGGTTGGCCTCTTATGATGGCTTCCAGGCTCTGACCTGGCAGCCTGCAGAGTGCCATGGTCCTTCCCAGACTGGCACTCTCCCTTGCACTGTAGGCCTTCTCCAGGGTCACTGGAGGGGCCTTTGAGCAGCTGTGGGCCTGATTAATGGGGACCCCACACCTGGGGCTCATTCCCACGTATTCCCAGGATGCCATCCACTTGGCCTTCTCCAGGAAGGACATTGAGGACATTTTTGCAAATGTTTTGAAACGTGTGTCTCTGTGCCACTATGGGGTAGGCTGTAGAAGATAGGAGGAGGCAGCTAGTGGGCAGTCACTGGTCTGCAGTGAACGCCAGACCCTCTCCTCCCTGGCCACCATGAGGCAGGACCACTGTGTCCGCTTACTTGTTCACTACTTGGGTCTATCTCATTTTCTTTGTTATAAATATACATGTTTGGTAGGTGAGGGGGCAGCAAAGTCAGAGAGAAGGTGCTGTCCACAGCTGCTACAGGCTTGGAAGCTGAATGGTACACACACAGAGACACACACATTATGCCCAGCAGGGCAAGCTGGGCAGCACTCTGGGCCCTGTAATGCTTGTTTGGTGGGCAAGAGCCTGTAGGCCTGGTCCAGGCTGGAGGGTCCCAGATGCTGGGTCCCAGGCAGCAGCGTGGCACCTGGGCCCAGCTCATATCATTCAGGGCTTTGCGGGTAAACTCAGACATACAAAGGCTGCTCTGTGCACTTCTGAGTTTACTGCCACATGCTATATCACAGTTGTGTCTGTCCCACCTGCTTCTGCATCAGTGGTTGCACAGGCTCCTGGGAGTTGATGTTCAGGTTTTCTGCCCAGTCTGAATCCAGTAGGTGGGGCAGTGCAGTAGGTGTAGCTGTGGGGATAAGCCACTTGCAGAACTGCCAATCTCCTCAGTGAGGTCCAGGCGCAGCCGTGGCACTCACCCTGCAATCCTCCATGAGAGCCTCTTCATGAGCTGCTAATAGGATTCCTTGAAAGGGTTTTTCACTGGGGCCCTGGGGTCTGAGGAGCCAGTGACGATATCATCATAGGCATCATGGTTCTGTTTCAGGATCCCCAAATTTTTGCCCACATCTAGGGCTGTTTGACCTAGAGTAGTCCTGGCTATGCCCAGCAGAGACTCCTTAGAGACCTGCCTGAGTCCTCATCAGGCTCCCACTAGACTGCGGCCCCAATGGCGGGTGCTTCACATGCAGGATTCCTGGTCACAGACCCTCAGGATCAACATCTTTGTAGGCCAAGGTAGCTGCAGAGAGGCAGGTTGGCGATCACCTCCGTATAGGAGGACACAGTGTCAGCACTGGCTGACACTACCCAGCACTGGCCCTTGTGGTAGGTCTAATTGTGGAAGACCAGGATGTTCTGGTACTATGAGCACTGGTAGGGTAGCAGCTGCTCCACCTGTAGCTACCAGGCCTGGCCTGGCTGCAGGCTGCATGTCTGGTCTTCCAAAAGCCGCTCTCTGACAGCCTTGGAGGTGGCAGGCCTGGCTGGGCTGGGCTCCATGGCTGACAGGCAGGTGGTGTAGGACCACACCATTCAGGCTTCTCTTGGGAAAACAGCCCTGCTATGTTCCCCGCCAGATTTTTTGTCTCAGGCCATCTTTATGTGTGTATTGTAGACTGACCTGTGTGGAGTCTGGGCAGGAACAACTTGGGGTTAAATGAGTTGATTTGGGGTCCAGGTTTGAGTTTGCCTTCTCCTTTGGTTAAGTTTTTAATGTGGTCAGATCTATCGACTTTTTTCTTTATTGTTTGTACTTTTCATATCTTGTTTAAGAACTCGTTCTCTTGGCTCAGCGCCTGTGGCTCAAGTGGCTAAGGCTCCAGCCACATACACCTAAGGTGGCGGGTTCAAATCCAGCCTGGGCCCGCCAAACAACAATGATGGCTGCAACCAAAAAAATAGCCAGGCATTGTGGTGGGTGCCTGTGGTCCCAGCTACTTGGGTGTCGGAGGCAGGAGACTCACTTGAACCCAGGAGTTGGAGGTTGCTGTAAGCTGTGATGCCACAGGACTCTACCCAGGGGGACAGCTTGAGGCTCTGTCTCAAGGAAAAAAAAAAAATCTTAAAAAAAAAAAAAAAGAACTCGTTCTCTTTCATAAAGTCCAGAAAGTATTTTATATTTTCTGTATTCTAAATTATTCTATATATTTTTTCTAAGGGTAAATAAGGTTTATTTTTTCACATGGGTCTTTGACTTTCCCATAGTTACCACTTTGGCTGGTCCTTCTCCTGAGTATGGAAAGCCCCTTGCCTAGCACCAGAGGCCCCAATACACAGAGGACCTGCAGGATTAGGGTGATCTGGGGGCAGCACATGCAGACCCTCAGCTCATAGAAGCCTGAGGGACAAGAGGCCAAGTGGGTGCAGACCAGGAGACAGAGAAGGCTGTGTGGACTGGGTACTGATGCAGCCAATATCTTCCTTTGAGGGTCACAGCCTGGCCATGGAAACCCCATGGGGAGGACAGGAGTCCACTAGTGTGCCAAGGAACCAGCCTCCCAGGTCTCAGAGCCTCACTCATGGCAACCTCAAACTCCTGATCTCAGTGATCTTCCTGCCTTGGCCTCCCAGAGTACTAGGATTATAGGCATAAGCCACCATCTCTGGCCTGAACACTTGTTCTCACTCCTTTTATCTTACTAAATACTCATATCTTCATGGACAAAATTATCTATAGATTCAGTTTGACCCATCGAAACTTTAGCCCAGGATTAACTTGTACTCTTTAAGCAAAGAAGCTCTATTGGGTATTAAACCTGTCTTTGAAGAGTATAAGGCAAAGTCTCTTTATCTCATATACCAGCCTTGTTAGCAACCCAGTCCTGCCAGTAAAGGACCCAATGGTTGGTACAGCTTTGTTTAAGGAACTTCTGCAACAAACAACAATGCTGTACTCCATCAGGGCATACCAGGCCTCTCTTTGCTAACCCTGAGTCTAGCTGGCAGCACATTCTCCATGGTCACTGCTCTATGCACTGTGTCCTTCAGTATCCTCGTCAACCAAACCAGCCAATACCTTTCTCCTTCTCTTGGGAAGGCCAACACTGTACCTGGGCCATCAGGCTTAGGATTTGCTGAAAGCTCCTCAAAGACCAACGGAAAGGACATTTATTCCCTCAGTGATTATTATTTTCTGAAATTATGCAGCTTAAATAGTTTACTTGGGGGTTTACTAGTTGTAACATTGTTAAGGTTTAATAAGTGTGTAAGTGTGTGCTGTCTTTACCGGCAGGCTGCCTGTCAGGGAGAGGAGAGCAGTGGATCACCCGCATGCTGCAGTAGCTAATCACTGTGAGGCTGATGCCACAGCACCCTGGCCTGGGCCACAGAGTGAGACTCTGTCTCAAAAAAAAGATCCAGTGTTAAGTTCACAATAGGATAACTATAGTCAACAGTAATTTATAGGCAGTCCCCAAGTTACAAGCATCCTACTAATGTAGGACTTGCACTTACAAATAGAGGCTATTTCAGGTAATAGGTAAAGGTACCTGTTCCAACTTACATACAAATTCCACTTAACAACAGATGTGCAGAACCTATCTTCATGACCAGGGACTGCCTATATTTTGAAATAACTAAAAGAGTGGAATGGGGATGTTTTCTTATGAAGAAATGGTAAATGCTTGAAGTGATAGATATCCCAGTTACCCTGATTTGATCATTATACATACTTGTATGAAATATCATAAGTACCTCATACATATGTACAACTATCACATATCCATACAAATTAAAAATAATAACATAAAGAGATAGCATTTCACCCTGTAGAGGGAAGTGAACTAAGCATTTTTAATCTGAACAAGCAACAAGAGAGTAAACAAGGGAGTTAGGAGAGTCAAAGGGCTCTGGAGTCAGCCGGTTTGACCTGGTTTACCAAAGTCCAAAATTATTTCCCGCTTTTGGGAGAAAGAAACTCCTAAATGACATTTTTCTAAAATATCTCAGCCAAGAAGCTAGGTAGAGCAGAGTTATTAAGCAAAGAGCAGTGGGTGTCCAGTCAAGGTCCCAGGAGGGAAGGGATAAGTAAGGACAGAAGGACCCCACTACTGACCCTCAGGGTTACTCCAAGGCAGACAGGAGGTCAGTGGGGCTAAGTGGTGAGAGTGTGGATCCAGCATCAATGAGGACAGTTAGGACCTCATTCCCAATTAGAAAGGGGGTTTTACCCAAGGTGATTGAAGGGATGAATGAGGAAGTGGCCCTGTAATCCCCCAAAGCCCCATCTCTGGGGATGTGTACCTAGAGGTTTTGAGGGAGAGGCTGTTGGGCCTTATTTAATGCATTATAATCTATCTTACAGATTGTCCAGGCTTTTTGCAATAATGACAGAAGCCAGGAGGATTTTGTTTGGGAGCCCCCATCTTTCAGAGCTGGAGATTAAGGATCTAAGTAGTTTTCTTTTTATCATTACCCACCAGAGTACAGGCTAACTGGCAAATTTACTAGCTCAAGAGTAGACATAGTTCCCCTTTCCACACAGGTTCTTTTAACTAGTTGAGAAAGTTCTCAAGAGAGGACACTTACAAATAAAGTTCAAGTAGAATGGGCATCCACTGGAAGTCGAGATTTTCCTTAAAGACAAGCTGGAGTTGGCTATGGTGATTATGAAGTGGCTCGTTAGGTTCATGGGTGGAAGCTTGGATCCAGTTCCAACCTAGCCTTAGGAAGACTGTGGCAATAACCTTGTGAAGGCATCTAGCTAAATTAAGGGGCTATTTCCAGGATTAGATACTTGGTTTTCTAAGTGTCAGACAGAGTGACACCACTCAGGTTTTGCTGTCCAGTTGGACCTGGCCTTCACTGACCAGTGTGTGAACCCCCTGATATAGCCCAGAGAAGTCAGACTGTGAGACAGGGCATCTCAGACCCAGAGAGGCTGGGTCACCATGTTGAACTCATGAGCCAGTCAGTCAGGGTCTTCAGTGACTTGGAAATTCTTAGCAATGGCTTAGAGTTCAACCATAGTCGGGTCGCACCTGTGGCTCAAGGAGTAGGGTGCCGGCCCCATATACCAGAGGTAGTGAGTTCAAAACCTAGCCCTGGCCAAAAAAAAAAAAAAAAAAAGAGTTCAACCATAGTCCAAGGAACATGGGAGACTCAGGGTTTATCTGTGTCATCACTGGGTTTTATTTAGAGGGCAGGTTCCAGGTAAGAGTGTTGCCAAGAAGTCTGGAAAGGGTGAGGAGAAGAAGTCCTCTGTACCTCTTTTTACTGTGCATTTGTTTCAGCCACCTCTGAGATGGTATTTGCAGGGAGGCAGTTGTTGAATCCCAGGTGTGCTTGGAACCCTTGGGGTTCTAACTGAAATACATGTTTCTTTCAGGCTGTAGCCACAGTCTTCTAGTTTAGTCCTAAGAAAACAGTCTTGAGGAGTTTGAATGATCCCCATCATGGCCACTTAACTCACCAAAATATTTAACTACGATGTGTAAAGGTTGTATAAAAAAGCTCCCACATAAAGTCAGAGAACTCAACCAAAGGGAGAGAGTTCAGATCCAAGAGAGGATTTACCATCTGGTGACAGTGACTTGTGGAGGTGGGGAGCATGTGGGCTCCTGCCGGTACCATCACACATTTCCAGGGGTTGCCAATCTGGAAAAGGCTTGTATTCTTTGGGTCTCACTTCTAACATCAGATTATGTCAACCTAACAAGAAACTCAAAGAGACAAGCTCTCCAGAACACATGAGTTTATTTGGGAATAGCAGAGGACAGCTATCTAGAATATGCGTGCTCTGATGGACCACAGGCATATCCAGGGGTGTCAGGACCAAGGGGTATCTCTTAAAGAGAAGTCTAGGAGAGCTGCTTTGAAACAAAGTCCATGGGGCACAGAAGCTCAGTGCAAGGCCTTGTTTGTTGGCAGAGACAGCCTCTGCGAGGCGAGCATCCTTGAGCACACAGGAAACTTGCAGTCTGGAGGAGGCTCTTGCGATAAGTCTTATTTCAGGCCCATGTCCGTGACAGCTTGCTCACAGCCTTCCCAACAGCCTGTGGTTGGTTTGACATAAGGACTCCTTTCTCATACTGGCAACTTTCACAGGGGCTTCAAGCTGTCTTTTGTTGATTTCTAACCCACTTGTCCTGGGTTCTGAGAACACTGGTCCTATGATACATGTTGCCACTGCCTTACAGAGCAGGTAGTGGTGTCCTGGGTGCTCCAGGGTGGAAAGGGGGCAGTGAGCACATGTTCTTGTCTGGGAGGAATGCATGTATGTTGTCACACCTTTTTCTCCTGCATGTCCCATCTAGCACCAAGTCCTCCTGAGTCCCCCTCTCAATGTTCTTCCCATCCACTCACCTCTCTCATCCTCCACTTCTGCCCTGTCTACACACAGTCCCCACTTCCCTGGGGCCAAGTGTACACCAGACAGGCATGGCCCCTGCCCTCAGGCAGCAGTACACACCTACCCTCAAGGGCCAGAGGGTGCCAGTGCTATAAGGCAGGAGCGTTCCAGGGAGCAAAGCTGAGAGACAGCCACACAGCCTTGCAGCCTCCCCACACTCAGATCCTGGCCTCAAACTTCAACATCTAGGACACCCCTTTACTCTCTATTACCTTAGAGGCAGCCAGGGTGATATCTCTCATGCTGGGGTTCTGGGTCTATGACCTAACAAGCACTCAGCGCTCATAGGGTCATTTCCTTTATTCCTCAAAACAGACCCATCAAGTAGTGCCGTGACTTTCTCCATGTGAGCAGGAAAACTGAGGCTCAGATCCCAGGTGGTGACACAAGCAGCTGTCAAACCTGCTTGATATGGTGCCACTGGTATCTCCCTGGCCACCCATGTTGGTTCTCTGTCTGGAACACTTGGGGACACTGGATGTCCCAGGTGCTGCCCAGTAACAAAGACTCTGGGAGCACCTGCCAGAAGTCAAAAAATTACTCAGGCTGAACCCAGTTCTGAGCCTGGTGCTCTCTGTTCATATGACTAGCCTGGCAGTGCAGCCAAGGGAGTCTCCTGGTGAGGTGACAGCTGAGCAGCCTGTCTGCACAGAATGGAGAAAAGTGTGCCTAGCAAGCTGGGAGTCAGCCTGTCAGCATCAGAGCCAGATTGGGCAACATGTAGGAACAATGGGCTCAGCAAGCTGGGAATCAGCATGTCGGCATCAGAGCCAGACTGGGCGACACGTAGGAACAATAGGAGCTGCAGGAAGGGCTCAGGAGGGGAGAACCCACCTGTCCCCACTTTAGACCATGGCTCTGGGGGTCTGTGCAGAGAGGGCTTGGGGCACCTGCAGCAAACAGGCTGTAACATATTTGGTAAGACCCAGGGCAAGATGAAAACGTGAGATCATCGTTCAAAGCATATTAAGAAGTGTGGATGCTGAGCATTGAGCTGAGCTGAGACATCACTGTCTCCTGGGCAGTCAGTGGCAGGGGGATGGAGAGGAGGGGCTACTTTCAGGATGAGATGTACCCACTGCCTGGCTGGCAAGACAGGGGCAATGAGGCAGTGACCAGCCGCTGCTGATCCCCAGGTGCCAGAACAAGGGGGAAGTAAAGATAATCCCGCAGGAATATGCATGGCAAAAAGGCTGGGAATGGAGCCCAGAGTAATGAAAAAGTGGTCTCCAGGAGGTGGAGGAGCAGGGCATGGGGCCAGGAGGAGACCCTTGGTCCAACAACCCTGGGGCTAGAGTAGATGCCCATCTTTACCCACAAGCTCCCAACCATGGTCCTTGGCCTTGGCCCCTGACCACCTCAGTCCAATTCCAAGTCCCTGGTTGTGGATGGAGCAGGCAACCGGGATAGGGTGTGCTATTCTTCCCCTGTGGCTGAGGCCGTACTGGGGAGCTCCAGGGCCTAGTTGTCCTGCCTGAGTTAGGCCTGGGGGACTGCTCTGTTAGCTCTACCCACTGGACGACTCTACCCTGTACCCTCAGGTCCCTTGCGGGACCCCCTCCACATGTATCCCTCCGAGTGTGGTCCTTACAACTTCCCTCAGTGTCATTTGCCCCCATACATGGGGTGTGTGGAAGCAAGAGGGAACTGATGGCCGCTGTCCCTACAGGCGTCCCTGAACCCTAATGACCACAAGCTGGATGAGGAGCTGTGCCAGACACTCACACAGCGCTACGTGAGCATCATGAACAGGCTGCAGAGCCTGGGCTACAACGGCCGGGTGCATCCCGCACTGACCGAGCAGCTGGTGAACGCCTATGGCATCCTCCGAGAGCGGCCAGAACTGGCAGCATCTGAGGGTGGCTCCTACACCGTGGATTTCCTGCAGCGCGTCCTGGTAGAGACTGTGCACCCCAGCATGCTCACTGATGCACTCTTGCTGCTCTCTTGCCTAAACCAGCTGGCCCACGATGATGGCAAGCCCATGTTCATCTGGTGACACTGGGGCCTACCCACTCAGGCTCACTCTGCCCCGCCCCCCCATGCACAGCCATTAAAGCTTCCCATCCAGAGGGTGGGGAACGTATGGTCTTCTGATTTCAAGATCATCCTTTTTTAAGCACCAAAGGAGGCGGAAAAAAAAAACCTTCATCTTTCTCTGTTGCACCCCTTTTAATGAAAGGATTTGTTGGGCAGCGCCTGTAGCTTAGTGGGTAGGGTGCCAGCCCCATATACCTAGGGTGGTGGGTTTGAACCCAGCCCTGGCCAAACTGCAACCAAAAATAGCCGGGGCATTGAGGCAGGTGCCTGTAGTTCCAGCTACTTAGGAGGCTGAGGCAAGAGCATCGCCTAAGCCCAGGATTTGGAGGTTACTGTGAGCTGTGATGCCACAGCACTCTACTGAGGGCGATAAAGTGAGACTCTGTTTCAAAAAAAAAAAAAATGTAAAATTTGGATTCAGTCAAAGAGCCGCTTAAGGACCAAAAAGTTCTTGAGTTTAACACCACAAGTGCCCCGGCCCTGCATGTGTCAGCATTCTTGGGTGTTGCTGCCTCTTCTGGGGTGGCCAACACCCATGCAGTCCTGCCTGGCCTGGAGGTCCACACTCATCCCACCCATCCCAGGGCACTGTCTGATGGAAGGAGTTGGTCTGAAGGCCCCAGGCTCCCTTCTTTTAGCACTGGGAGCAGCACGAAGACAGGAACCTGGAAGGAGTGCAGCAGGCAGGGGAGGGCTGAGGCTCTGTGACTGTGGGGAGTTAGGGGGGTGGCAGAAAGAGGGGACCTGTGTGCAGAGGTGGGAGGAGGCAAGGATATGGGTGTGTAAGTCCCTGCCTCCACACTGGGCAGGGGGTGGGAAGGGGCTATCTTCAGACCTGAGAGGGAGTGCAGCCAGGGAGATGAACACACCCTCACCCAAACCTGTGCCCCAGGGCGCACAGCAGCGAAGCGCAGCCAGAGGGGGCTGAGGGCCAGGACATGGAGGGTGTAGCAAGGGGTGCCAGAACAGGGAGGGCCGCAAGGCGTTGAGTGCGGGTGGTCAGGCGGTCGGGGACTGCATGGTGCACGCGGCTTTTTGGCGGCGGGCTACTCGAGTCGAGGCCTGGTGGCACAGTCTGTGCGCAGGGTGAGTAAGGTGGCAGCCCAGGCAAATGGCAGCTCTCTCCCAAGACATCCAAGGTCCAACATGAGAGGCCCTCTCTACAGGGCTCTGGTGACCTGGTGTTGGGGGCTCAGAGCTGCCACAGGGCCTAGGGCACAAGCAGGATAGGGGAGCAACTGAAGTGGGGTAGGGAGGTTTGCTGGGAAGGGACCTGTAGATGGAGATGTGGACAGGACAAGAAGCAGAGTGGTCCCCAGGGAGGGACTTGAGGGGGAGAGACAGGCAGAGTGGTGAAGTCCACGAGTGGAAAGGAGACCCTGCCTGACAGAAGGCAAGGGGGCCCTACCACGAGTACTTGCAAGCCAAGAGAGCATGGCAGGAGGGACCAAAGGAGCCACAGGGTCTGGGTTCAAACACGAATCTCATCAACCACAGGCAAGGAGTCCAAAAATTGGGGGGCCTCCTGGCAGGATGCCAGGCTTAGCTGCCTCTCTGCTTCTCCTGCTCCCAGGCCTCCTGAGGCCTCCAGGCATCCAGTCCAACAGCCTTTGGGAACGGCAGGGCAGAACTTTTGACCCAGAGGGCAATTTTGGGGCCAGCGTAACCAGGTGGGGCCCAGAAGCCCCTCCACCTCCCTGCCAGGCACGGTGAAAGGCAGCCCTGACCCAATTCTCCAAGGCTAAGAGACACTATCCTCAGCTGACACAGGAATGGATGCCTTAGAATGAGGGAGCTGGCTTCCCTTCTGCTCGCGCCCGCCGGCTCAGCAGCTGCACAGGACAGAACCAACAGTCCCTCCCCCTGAGACCGGAAGCTCCTCGGGGTAGGGTCACAGGGCTGGAGGACTTTGATGCTTTGCTGGGCGCTGGGCGGAAGGTTGGGTAGGCGGCTTCTAGTCTGTCTTCCCTCTGGTGTCAGGTCTTTGAACTCAGGCGCGGGACACGTGAGAGGCGGGGTAGACCTGGCAGTACCAGCAGCCCGAGAGGCCGGCACATTCATGTGGACTTAGGGGGTGGGGTGGGGGGGGTCCGGATGAAGCACACACGTTCTCCCCTCGCCAGCGCTTCGCCAGCCTCTACTCCAGAAGGGTCACCACTACTTGGCGCTGGCTGCACCCTGAGGTTCCCCCTGCCGCCCTCTGGGTGGGTAGGGCGGGGCTCGGAGAATCTGGGCGGAGCTAAGAGGTCAAGGTCCCTTTTGCTTTTAATTTTTTTCTTCCCAAGGGGCGCGGAAATCCAGAGCCAGTAAGGAGAGCGCAGCTTTCCAAAGCGCCCCTCTATGCCTACGCCTGACATCCCAGGCTCGCTAGGAACAGCGCCTTACTCACCCTGCGCACAGACTGTGCCACCAGGCCTCGACTCGAGTAGCCCGCCGCCAAAAAGCCGCGTGCACCATGCAGTCCCCGACCGCCTGGCTACCCGCGCTCAACGCCTTGCGGCCCTCCCTGTTCTGGCACCCCTTGCTACACCCTCCATGTCCTGGCCCTCAGCCCCCTCTGGCTGCGCTTCGCTGCTGTGCGCCCAGGGCGCGCCCGGGCCAGCCCGAGGTGGCTGAGAGCGGTGGCCCGACGGCGGCGGCGCTGCTGCTGCTTGTCGGCCTGCTCCTGGCGCTGCCTGGCCTGCTGCACTGGTTGCTGCTGCAGGCTTGGCATCGTCCCTTCTGCTACCACCGGCCCGCTCCACTGTGCTGGGTGCCGCCTGCGCCCCGGCGCTCGCCAGCCGAGCCGGTGCGTTGTTGCTTGGTCTTCCTCTCGGCCAACCTGTGCTTGCTCCCTCATGGGCTGGCAAGCTTCAACAACCTATCGCACAAGACAGCGGCGGGCCGAGGCCATTGGTGCCGCGCTGCTGGTCCGCCTCCGGCCCTCGCTGTACGACTGGTGGCCGCACTGCCCGCGGGTCTGGACTTCGTGTCCCTGCAAGAAGTGTTCGATCTGCGCGCGGTCGTCGCTTGGTGGACCGCCTGGCGCCGAATCAGCCCGGTGCTGTACGACTTCGGCACGCTCAGCTTGCAGCCCGGGCTGCACCTCAAGCTGCTGGGCAGCGGGCTGCTGCGGGCCATCTTCTATTGCTTCCCCAACACACGTCGCGAGGACGCGCTGACCTGTAAAGGCCTGCTGTCCGCACAGGTACCGACCGACCTGCCAGCCACGGTCCACCTTGGTTGGGGAGGAGCCGGGGCGTCTGTAGTATTGCAGGCACAGCTGGACAACCTGGACCGGTGCTGCATGGTGGGATTCCTGCACGCACCGCCTAGGGAGCCCTTCTGTTCCTACCTCTACCTGCACCTCTGTGCCCCACCTCCCACCATTTGCTCACTCCGCTAAGCACCAGAATTCCAGAGAAGTGACAGAGTGGGTTCACAGATCTGGAGAGGGGAGGTGTACAGGATGGGATCCGCACCCTGGACGAAGCATACCCACACCCCTTCCTTCCGAAGAGCACCCGCCCTTGCCCTGAGAGCAGCTGTCACTGTTGTTGACTGGGCCCAGCAGTTTGAGGCCGAGAGCCGCCAGAATGACGAGGTCGTTGCCCCTCAGTGTGCTTCTCAGCGGCCTGAACTTCCACAACCGCTCGAAATGTGAGGGGAGGCTAGGGCGAGCAGGCCGGGAGGTGCGCCCCTCTCCCGCTGCAGATCACTCCCAGAAGCAGCAGCACAAGCTCTTCAGCTGCTTCCCGGACCCCTGCCGGCTGGGCACCCGCCAGTAGCAGCCTTGGGCCATGGGTACTGCGCCTGGGGTTGGGGGTGCGGAGGGGAGATTGGACGTGGGGAAGGCCGGTCGCTGAAGCTCTCGCCTATAGGGCCCTCCCCCGGCCTCCCACAGGGACCCGAGATGCTGTGGAGGTGAGAGGAGACCTGGGACCCAATGACCTTCCACCCTAAGCCCAAAGGGGTGCCCTGGCCTTGGTGACACCGCCCTTCCGCCAGGGCCCTGGGGACAGGATAAGGGGTGACACCTATACCTGGCAGCTCCTCCCTACGGAAGGAGCCGCACAAAACCCTGGCGGCCCGGCGCTTGGACTATATACATCACATACGGGAGAGTCCTGGGCCGGCTGAGTCCACCAGTAAGTGCCAGAGGTCAGGGCAGAGCCTGCGGGCGCTGGGACGACCCTCCCCCCAACCTGACTCCCATTCTCAGTAAGTGGAACGGGTGACGTTCAACACCGCCCTGGCAGGGCTCACGGACCACCTGGCCATAGGCCCACAGCTCCGCGTCTCCATGCCCTCATAGCCCCGGCAGCGCAGAGGCGATAGCGCGCATCCAACGGGACAGCACGACACAGCACGAACATGACCCTTAGCGACGCCCTCAGGCCGGGCAGCTTCAGGAATCTTTATTGCGCAGACCCTCACACAGCCTCCTGGGCCCGGCGGTACTCATAGAGGCTGCCGCGCTCGAGGAAGGCTGGAGGCTGCGGGGGCGACCCTGGCGGTGGGGCGGGGTCATCCGGGTCCCCATAGCCTCCGCCCCCCGGCGTGTGGAGGCAGAACACATCCTGAGGGGCAGAGCGCAAGATCAACACAAGCGTGTCCCTGGCTGCAGCGTCCTCTCCTAGTGGAGCAGGGTCAACCACCCACCCCCACCACCGGCCTAGGGTGCGCCCCTTCGGGAGTCAAACTAAACTCCGTCTCCAGTTACTTTTACAACTCTGCCACCCTCAGTGAGGTGGGCCTAACGAGGGGAAGTGGGAACAGAACAAGCCGCAACCCTTACCCCGGGGTACACGGTCACCGATGTCTTCCCGCCCAGATTCACCGTCCGCCCGTCCTTACGGATCAGCAGGTTTAGACCACGGGCACCAGGCTCGCCCCCTGCGGGGAGAGGCCAGATACGAGGTGTCCAGAAAAGCCAAGAAGAGAGATAAAGTGGGCAGAGCAAGAGGTAAGGTCGGCCAGGCGAGAGCGGGGACGGATCGGGCGAAGGGGGAGTGCCCACCATGGAGGCCATAGGGCTGGAAGGCCCGGCGCTCGGTCAGCACTGACAGTAGAGCCTCCTCCCGGAAGAGCAGCTCGCGGATCACGCCGTCGCCCCCGCGGAAGCGGCCTCGGCCCCCAGAGCCCAGCCTCAGCTCGAAGCGGCGCAGGATGACCGGGTACCTGCGCCAGACGCAAGCTTAACGCAGCCCCAGCCTGGGCTCCCACCCTGGCCGGCTCCCCAGGGCTGGGAGCTCACCGGCTTTCCAGGACCTCGGGGTCGGTGATGCGTGTGTTGGTCATGTGGCTGTGCACGCCGCTGCGCCCATGCCATCTGGGGCCGGCGCCCGCACCGCCCGCAACCGTTTCATAGTAGCCCATGTGGGCGTTGCCCAGGGTCACGTTGTTCATGCAGCCCTGTCAGGGTCAAGGAGCGACTGCGCTAGACTGGAGTGGGGCCTGTGCACCCAGCAGCCCCCAGAGCTGCGCTCACCCTGCCCCACCATACCTGGGAGGCAGCACAGGCCCCAAAGGCTCGCAGGATCACGTCTACCACGCGCTGGGACGTGAGCACGTTGCCGCCCACCACAGCTGCCTCCGGGGACGGGTCCAGGATGGAACCTCTGGGAATCACAACGCGAACTGGCGCCAGGCAGCCCTGTGTGTGGACAGGCAGCAATCAGGGATGACTGGGGGTGGGCCCCACTGTCAAACTGAGGGAGAATTCCCCCTACACCCCACAGATCAGTTTGGGCTGACCTTGCCCTCAGGCACGCTCAGGGTGACTGTGCACTTTGTGGGGAACTCCCTCACCCACACAACTCTGCAAACCTGATTGAGCGGGATGTCCCGGCCTACTAGACAGCGCAGGCAGTAGATAAGGGCTGACAGCGTTATGGCCCTGGGTGCATTCAGGTTGCCAAACACTTCTGGCCCCGTGGTACTGAAGTCAAACACTGCACTGCCCTGTACATCCGAAGGGAGAACAGACATCAGCAGGTGGGCAGCCTCACTCCTGAGGCAGGAGTGGGTGCCCTCTGCAGGCAGCCTGACCTGACACGGATTGATCTGCACCCGAAGGTGGATGGGGGAGCCGTCATCCATGTGGTCTTCTGCGCAGACCTCGAGGGGCAGACCCTGGGCCTGCCGGGAGGCTGCAAAGGCCCTCAGCATGTCTCTCACTGCCAACTCAGCATTTGCCTGGCAGGGAGGAGGTTCAGCAGCAGCTGTGCCACCTTCAGGGTGACCACGCTGCCCAGAGGCAACTGCCCTATGCTCCTGCCCCCTGGCCCACCTGAATATGGCCCATGTAAGCCTGCACCACGTCCAGACCATACTGCCCGATGAGCTCCCCCACCAACTGGATGCCCTTCTGGTTGGCTGCCACCTGGGCACGGAGGTCAGACAGGTTGTCATGCAGATTTCTGGTTCCACTGCAGCTGGGGATCTTGCCTGGAGCCTGGAGGGCCTCAGTCACCGCTGGATGGACAGAGTGACCACTGAGCTCCTCCCCAAGCTTGGAGGCCACCTGGTACCTTATTCCACAATCACTGCACCCCTATTGGGCACTGGGGGCTCCTATGTTGGCCCTTCACTCCCCTCCTGACTCCTGCAGTACCCTGAAGACCCTAGCCTCCACCCTTCTCCCTCCCACAGCCCAGCACCCTAGGGTACCCTAGGCTTGGGCAGGCAGCTTTGCCAATGACCTCACTGGAGCAGGGGCAGCTTTGTACCTCAGCAAGCTCTCCTCCCTCCTTCATCCCTCTCACCTTCTCTGCCCACTCCCCTGACACTCCCCACCAGCCTGCCCTTGGGCCTGCCAGTTGCCCCCGTCAAGTGCCTCAAAGAATAAATATCAAGGTGCATCTGGTGTCCAAGACCCCTACCCAAGTTTCCTGGATCTGAATGAGGTCTCCAGCCCCTGACAAGCAGTGAGGCCTGGCTGAGACCACTCCTCACCTGAGAAAAGCCCCTCGCCTGGAGTCTGGGTGAGGATCCTCTCTGAGGCACCTTCGTCCGGCCTCTGCCATGTGTCTGCACATCCCACCCCAAGCCTCACCCCTGCCCCACTTCACCCTGACCAAACAAGCAGTCAGGCCTGGATGTCCTACTTGTGTCCCCCAATAGGCAGCCTGTGACTCTGTTACCATGACTCTGGCCTCAGCTCCCTCTGGATGCCTCCCTGGGCTCTTTGTCCTACCTGGCCCCTTATCCCTTTCTTATATCCCATCAAAACATCTGTCCCCACCTCCACAATAGCTCACTGCTCTCTGCCCACCTCAAGGCTAAGCATCACCAGGACCATTGCCACTGCTCCCACCCTACTTCCCCCACCAACTTGCAGGACCACTTGGACCCTTGTCTTCTCTTACATCTAGGTGTACTGGCAGACCAGCATAGGCCCAGCTGAAAGCTCTACACAGCTGCCCCACTGCCTGATGACTCAGACCCAAGCCCAGAAAACTCTCCAAGACCCAGCCCCTGACCTTAGCCCCACTGCTTCTCTGAAGCCCCCCACCCAGAGTGGACCACACACACCACTAGCAGCTGCCTAGCTTGAAGCAGTTCCTCCCCTTCCAGCACCCAGATCCTGGTGTCCTGGCGAACTCCTCACCCTCAAAACTATCTCCCAGGAAGCCTTCTTGGGCCCAGACAGAATATCTCTCAGCTTCTGTGCCCATCTGCCCCAACCCTTAGGGTCACCACCTGTCTTCACCCCCAGGCCCAGCCTCTCTTGGTTACTGGCAGTAGCGACATGTCCCAGCCTACTGAATGCTACTCCAGACCCATTCTCTACTCCCACTCACCCTCTTCCTGGAAGACACCTCCTTGGACAAGTTTGAAGGACAGAAAGACAGCACCCTCCTGCTGCAGTGTAGTGGAGTGGGGGGGCATGGAACCTGGGGTGATGCCCCCAATGTCTGCGTGGTGCCCTCGGCTGGCCACATAGAACACAGGCTGCATCTGACCCGGCCAAAACACCTGGGAGCAGGGAGGTACAGAGATATAGTCAGCTGTATCAGCTTCCCTGCCCCACTGAGAGTTGCCAGGCAATACCCCTCACCGGTGTGATGACAGTCAGGTCTGGAAGATGGCTGCCCCCAGCGCTGGGGTGGTTACTCAGCAACACATCACCAGGGTGTAAGTCAGCCCCCAAGTGCTGGATCTGAAACCAGGACACAGTAGAGTGAGGAAGGGGAGTGAGGCCCAGGTGGCCCAAGGGAGGGACCCACCATACCTGGAACTGCACAGTCTCCTGCATGGCACCCAGGTGCACAGGGATGTGGGGGGCATTGGAGACCAGCCCCCCATCAGGCCCAAAGAGGGCACACGAGAAGTCCAGGCGCTCCTTGATGTTGGTAGAGATGGCCGTGCGCTGCAGGATTCGGCCCATCTGCTCTGGGGACACATAGTGACCAGGCACACGAGGGTACCACCCACCCACAGCACTGCCCCCGGACAGGGAGGAATAGGACCCACCAGGGCAAAAGCCCCCAAGGCTCAAATCCAGGAGGTAGCTTTTTCTGTGCCCTGGGAAGACCAGGTGGTGGTATGTCCACCTGGGCACAATGTCCTGGCCTGTGTGGAGTGTACCATCTTCTTCCCAGTCCTGCTTGGAGGTAACAGCAAGAAGCTGGAACCTTCCTCGACCCCCTGCTCTGCCTGGCACAGCAAGAACCTGGTTCCTGGGCATGGACCCCTGGGCTCCCAGCAAGCCCCTGCTTGATCATCCACAGAGGGCATCCCTCTGTGTCCTGTCCCCAGGTAGGGAAGCAATTCCCAGAGCACACGGCTATAGGCAAGAGGAGGCAAGTGCCTGCCCTGCCTAAGACCTGCTCTAGCATGCAGCAAGCCATGCCATCCTAGGGCCAGAGCCACACTGCCCACCACAACCCAAGTGGGGATCTCTGGTCATCCCTACCAGCCACCCCACATGACAAGGCCTACACTGCCAGGAACACCATGAGTGCCTATCTCTGCTCACTCTGCAGAACCCCCATGCTCTACCTAAAAGGGCTGCAGGGAGAATGGCAGCGGCCACTTACCAGCAATGCTCATGAAGCGATGTGAGAAGATAGACAGCTGGATGGGGTCAACCCGAGTGCCCACTGCATTGGAGGCTTCAGCCCCCACAGAGATGCGGATGTCCCCCATTTTGGTCACCTCTGCTTGGCAACCTGGCTCCACCAGGATGGTACTGAGGGCAGGGAGCACAGAGGGGCTGCAAGGTGCCAGACCAGATGCACCCAACAAGGGACACCACAGCCCCAAGCCCGTGAGGGGACATGGACTCCCTCAGGCCAGAGAAGCCCCAGCCAGGGGCCCCAGG